ACCCTAAACCCCCCAAACCCCTTAAACCCTAAACCCTAAACCCCTAAACACTAAGTTCACCGCGCCCGCCTCGGGACTCGGGTCTTTGCCGGAGCTTTGCTGAGCTGCCTCGTCCATGGCTGCCCGGCCTTTATCCTACACATCCCCTAAGGGTCCAAGTACCTAATAATCATCCCTAAGGCTCCATGTGCCCATATAGTAGATACTTAAGCCTTAAAGTACCAATATAGGGACCCCTTTAAGGCCTAAGTATCTGCTATAAAGGTACATGGAGCCTTTGGGCATATACTCTCCCAAATACTAAGCTACAAAACTACTATCCGTAAACCAAGTACCTCAGTATTAGGTCCTTGGGACCCTTAGGGATCGAGCCGGGCCCACAAGGGCTCTAACTGCTCCGGGTTTAGGGGTTTAGGGCTTCAGGGTTTAGGGTTTAGGGTTTAGGGTTTAGGCTTTAGGGCTTAGGGGTTTAGGCTTCAGGGTTTAGGGCTTAGGATTTAGGGGTTTAGAGCTTCAGGGTTTAGGGCTTAAGGTTTAGGGGTTTAGGCTTCAGGATTTAGGGCTTAGGGGTTTAGGCTTCAGGGTTTAGGGCTAAGGGTTTAGGGTTTAGAGCTTAGGGTTTAGGGCTTAGGTTTAGGGTTTAGGCTTCAGGATTTAAGGTTCAGGATACAGGGTTTAGGTATGATGGTTTAGGGGCTCGACGTGACCTCCGTGGCGTCGTGGACTTTCCATGCTTGTCGTGTCGAAGCTTCTGCCGTTCTAGCATCCTAGCTTCCAGAAAGCGGTGGGTGTGGACCCTTGAGAAGCAGGTTCCGCACGCATACACGGGGATGACATGGGGTCCCAAATCTACATACTGGAAAGGCCTTCATTGATTAGAATGAGGCTCTGGGGTCTATTATACTCTAACTATAATAAGGAAACCCCCAAATGGTATTGGTAATTCTCAAGGCCCCTATATTGGATGCTCTTTTTTGTACCTGCAACAGCAACATGAGTACTTGTATCTCGAGCTAGTAACAAATTAGGCTATAACCCCTCGATCTTGAAACCCCCGCTGATCCTAAACCCTAAACCCTAAACCCTAAAGCATCAACAGTTTCCCTCCCCGCCTGGACACGAAGGTTCCGTCGAAGCAGGCCCCGTGGGACTTCGGAGAGCTGATGATCAAGGATGCTGCGGTGTAGGGCTTGGGGTTTAGGGTTTAGGATGCTGCGGTGTAGGGCTTGGGGTTTAGGGTTTAGGGTTTAGGGTTTAGGGGTGTAGGGGTTTAGGGTTTAGGGTTTAGGATGCTGCGGTGTAAGGCTTAGGGTTTAGGGTTTAGGATGCTGCGGTGTAGGGCTTGGGGTTTAGGGTTTAGGGTTTGGGGTTGGGGTTTAGGGGTTTAGGGTTTAGGGTTTAGGATGCTGCGGTGTAGGGCTTAGGGTTTAGGGTTTAGGATGCTGCGGTGCAGGGCTTGGGGTTTAGGGTTTAGGGTT